ATACGTTTCGTCTCTCATCCGAGAGACTTCCTCAGTCTGAGGTGCTGTATTCAGCTCAGTCTCTTAAATAGCACCTTCTCAGAGTGGATCAACCAGTTTGCTGCTGACAACCAAAACCAGCTGATCACATGGTCAAGAAGGACCATCAGCCTAACAATGGATCATTAGCACCTGATGGCTGTTTACTGTTCACAGAGGGCTGAGTGATACTAGCAATCACAGCATTGTAAGAGGGGGACAGTTGAACCCGAAGGCCTCCACCCCTGTTTAATGATGGACGGTTTCTTTTCACAAAGATGGCCTCCTTTACTCCTCTCTCAAACCATCGTTCCTCTCTGTCCAGGATGTGAACATCTTCATCCCTGAAAGAGTGACCGCTGGCCTGGAGATGAGTGTAGACCGCAGAGTCCTGGCCTGATGATGTTGATCTTCTGTGCTGGGCCATCCTTTTGGCCAGTGGCAGTTTAGTTTCCCCGATGTAAGACTGATCACAGCCCTCCTGACACTGAACAGCATACACAACATTACTCTGTTTGTGCCGGGGGACTGGATCTTTGGGATGAACCAGTCTTTAATGTATTTTGGGGTTTAAAAGCCACTGGGACGTTATGTTTAGAAAATAAACGTCTCAGTTTCTCTGATACTCCCTCAACATATGGAATGACCACTGGTCTGGGTCTGGGTTCCTCCTTTTCACCTGTTGGCTGACTGGAGTCCTGTTTGGGTTTCTTCTCTGCTTTCAGGAAGGCCCAGTTAGGATATCCACATTGCTCTAGAGCCTGTCTTGTGTGGGATTTCTCCTTCTGCCTGGCTCCTGAGCTAGTGGGGATGCTGTCTGCTTTGTGGTACAGAGTCCTGATGACTCCTAACTTGTGCTCCAAAGGGTGATGGGAGTCAAACTGCAAATACTGGTCTGTGTGGGTGGGTTTGCGGTACACCTCGGTTTGCAAAAGTCCTCTATCAGAGACTGAGACCTCACAGTCCAAGAAAGCCAACTTGCCTTTTTTTTTCTATCACTTTTTTTCTACAATTTCTATTTTATCAAGATACTCAAAGCTCTTTACAACAATCTGTGCCTCATTTACCATTCATACAGCTCTATACTAGATCTCTACAAAGACTAATCAAAGCTTGTCCTCTCAACCAGCCGGTCAAAGCAGATGGCCGCTTGTCCTGATCCTGGTTCTGCTGGAGGTTTCTTCCTGTTAAAGGGAGTTTTTCTTTCCACTGTCTCCACTGTGCTTGCTCAGGATGGGAGACTGCAACGAAGACAAGATTCAACTTGTCTGCTGGATTCCTCAGATAGAGAACTTTACTAACTGGCTTTTATGTGAATGTTCCTGTAAAGTCCCTGAGACAACTTTGTTGTGATTTGGAGCTAAATAAATAAACTGAGTTGAATTGAAAGATGTATCACATTCATACACTGATGGGACACACATCAGAGGCAATGAGGGGTTCAGTGTCTTGCCCAGGGACACTTCAGCATGTGACTGCTGGTGGAATTGAACCCCCAACCCTCCCACTGGAGGACAACTGCTCTACACACTCAGCCACAGCTTCCTCAATGATGACAAAATATAGCGCTTATGTTTTGGAGTTAGAGTTTCAGCAACAGTAAAGTTTTATAATATAAACAATGAAGGTCAGGTCTTCTACTGGAGCTTGAAAGTTTCAACTCCTCTGTTTTTATTCTGCACTTTTCAAACACTTTAGCAGTTTCTCATTGGTGCCTTTCATCTTGATGTGTTTCATCCTACAAAGCTCTCAACAACCTGGCTCCATCTTATAACCAAGAACTTATTGTTCCATATTAGAGCACTTCGCTCTCAGACTGCAGGTTTACTTGTGGTTCCTAGAGTTTCCAAAATCAGAATGGGAGGAAGATCTTTCAGTTCTCAGGCTCCTCTCTTGTAGAACCAACTTCCAGTTTCTGTCAGTGAGGCTGACACATTGTTCAGTTTTAAAACTGAGCTTAAGACTTTCCTTTTTGATAAATCCTATAGTTAGGGTCGGCTTGTTGTGCTGCCTTAAGCGTAGACTACTAGAGGACAAATTGACCTCATTTCCTTACATTAATTGTTAAAATTGAATTAGCTTTCATTTGATTTTTTTTCTCCATCAGAGAAACGTACCAGCGAGACTTTAAAAGGCAGAAATGGCAATTTACAAGTTCTGCCTGACCCAAACTGTGGCCTTGACGCCGGACTTATCTCAACTCCTCCTGGAATGTTTGTAAAACAACAAAGATGCTTTGTCTGTCTCCTCACTCCTCCCTTCCCCAAGGTCGTGGACATGTAACAGAACCTCAACTGAGCTGAAGATGAATGTCACCTCTTGTCTGGACAATGGCTAAGAGAGGCTCTGGACTCTGCTACAACTTTCCCTTAAAAATTCTCTGTCTTCACGGCCTATATGTTCATGTATAACGTCTGTTTGTGTTGCTTTGCTGTGGAGGTTTTTTTGATGCCTCAAATCGTGCCCTGTCTAGGACACGGAGTGAGAGATCTTTTTTTATACCGTCTCTCCTCATGTTTTCTTCCCTTTTCTCATCTAAGCAAAATATTATTCTGAATAAGAATAATGAGGGCCGCGCTATTTATAGTAGCAGCTTCGTGCACTCCACCCATCTTTCAGACGACTACGTACATGTTCTCATTGTATCTCGGTGCAATGATAATAAAGTTTATTCTGATTTTGATACTATTTCTATCTGAACATGTGATTCTTGACCTGCCATTGTGTATCTATTCCTACCAAACCCAGCCGGTCGAAGCAGATGGTCCTCTTGTCCTGATCCTGGTTCTGCTAAAGGTTTCTTCCTCATGAGGGAGTTTTTCCTTTCCACTGTCGCCTTCATGCTTGCTCAAGATGAGAGTTCAGATAAATAATGTTAAATTATTATTTTTATATATGAATGTTTCTGTTCAGTCCCTGAGACGACTTCTGTTGTGACTTGGTGCTTTATAAATAAACTGAATTGGTTCAGTGAGTGTTCAATGTCAGGGTCCTGGATTTGTGGTGAAATTGTCTGTGTATTGTGAAGAAAGCTTTTGTCTCATTATCAGTTTCTTGTACATTTATGTCCTCCGCTCTACAAATGGAAATGTTCCAACAGACACCAGGAAAAATTAAGATATTTGTCCAGGAAGTTAAGACACTGAAGACAATCCTGTTGATTCTCGGTCCCTGGTTAAAAAAACAAAACAGAACACTTTGGGGCTACCAAATGTATTTTTTTTAAACTGTATATTAAATGTGTAGTGTAAATTTGATATAACAACCATAATCATCACTTGAGGTTTGAAACATGAACAGAAATAAGCATAATAAAAAGAAAACATGTCATGGTTTTAGTTTTGTGCTTTCAGATGAACCTTATCAGAATGTTTCATTGTTATGCATGTTAGTCCTGCTGTTTGCTCATAAGCATGCCTGCCCCTGTGGTTTGCTGGCAGCAGCACTAACAGCCTCATCTTCACTAAAAACAAACAGGAAACATATGACTCCACAGGTAAAGATTTATTATAGACCAGAACACAATTTTCAGATTCACTGACAATCACTTGCAAATATGGAGTTTCTGTTTCTCATGTCAATACTGTATGCAGAAGTTCTGTATGTCTTCATACCGACAGAAAAAACAACACCGAACCAAACAATTACACCCAAGATGGCAGCACAGTGTACAACAGACGGCACAGACTTATTGGAGCAGCTGTAAAGCTTTAGTAGGACACATGATTTAATTTTTATTGTCAAACATACTTTCAACACACCACTCAAATCTTTTATATGAGTTACACAAACACTGACCATAATACTTCTTTAAAACCTGTTGGGTTTTTGTTGACACTGGATTTTACCACCAAAACTAAAACAAAAAGTGTGATCTATGTTCTATGCAGGATAAATATAATATAAATATATATTAAAATACAGCGATGTAGACAAAGATAAATGGAGGACAGTACTTTGCTGAAGGTAAAGACCACATCCACTCAGTGCTGTCATTTCTTAATAATTCTCAGCATGAGTACAGCTTCACACGTCCCATCTGAAAACAATCTACAGAGGACTTCATCAGAGCACATTCAATGTTCACAAAATACCACTAGAGGGCGACAGAGGGCTGCACTTGGTATCATGCACACTAAACATCCACAACAGAGAAAATGGAGGGCAGGAGACACTGCTGCTTTTCTGTGGCCATATTTAGGTCTGATCAATCGTCAAATCGTCCCTCCATGATGCTCTCAAAGGAGAACGGGACAAACTTGAAACCCTGGCCAGAGTAGAACTTGTTCTGGAACTCCACCCTGGAAAAAAAAGTAGAGAAAATCTGTGAAAAGCGTGTATGATTATAAGCATAAATAAGTGTTTACTACCTGTTTAAAAAGGTTAGTACTTGAACGTACATGTTTTTACTGCAAGCTGAGAAGAGCACAAATCAAATGCTGTAATGTTGAAAACTAAAAGCTCATGAAGGAAGTGTTACATGAGTGTTGGTGATTAAAAGTTAGAGTGGCATTAGGTATAGAACAGCAGCATCATTAAGGACCACACCCACCCAGCACAAGAACTCTTCCATCTACTACCCTCAGGCAGATGATATAGGAGTCTGTCATCGCGTACAAAAAGACTAAAGGTGGGCGGCTGAGTGGTTAGAGCAGTCGTCCTCCAATGCGAGAGTTGGGGGTTCGAATCCACCAGCAGTCACATGCTGAAGTGTCCCTGGGCAAGACACTGAACCCTCATAGCCTCTGATGTGTGTCCCATCAGTGTATGAATGTGATAAATCTCTGATTAGTCTCCTTAGAATGATTTGTTCATTTATCTTTGTAGAGATCTAGTATAGAGCTGTATGAATGGGTAAATGAGGCGCAGATTGTTGTAAAGAGCTTTGAGTATCTTGATCACATAGAAAGGTGTTATATAAGTACAGTCCGTTTACCATTTACTAAAGGAGAGTTATTATCCACAAGCTGTCAGATTATTGGACTTTTGATAATAATACTGAACTATTGACAATAACAAGCCACATCTGTGACATCTAATATGTTTAGTGCTGCTGCACTATGTGGCTGTATCATGTATGTCACTACCTTACCATCATAATTCAGTTCATCTCAATGTTAATATGCAATAACCTGTCACACAACCTGTGTAGTATATGTATAAATATGTATGTATGCAAATATGTACATATGTACAGTAGTCTCTCATTTATCAGAATCAGAATAAACTTTATTAGCATTGCACCGAGATACGAGAACATGTACGTACAGTCGTACGAAATATGGACGGAGTGCACAAAGCTGCAACTATAGAAAGCGCGGCCCTTTTATTCTTATTCAGAATAATATTTGATGGCGATTAGCTGATCAGCTGCAGGAGGGAGCTTCCCCTGCACTTGTGGGCGTCACACATGGTGCAAATCATTTAAAATAATTTATTTTAAATCAACAACCCATGGCTCATTCAACATTAACCCAATTGTGTCAGGTCCAATCTTACTTTGAAAAACCGTGATAGAGAGAATCTGCAATAAACAAACTGCTAAGTAGCAATGGACTAAATATATATATATATAAACCAGATTCCAAAAAAGTTGGGACACTTAACAAATTGTGAATAAAAACTGAATGCAATGATGTGGAGATGGCAAATGTCAATATTTTATTTGTAATATAATATAGATGACAGATCAAAAGTTTAATCTGAGTAAATTTAACATTTTAAAGGAAAAATATGTTGATTCAAAATTTCACAGTGTCAACAAATCCCAAAAAAAGTTGGGACAAGTAGCATAAGTGGCAGGAAAAAGGAAATTGAGCATATAACGAACAGCTGGAAGACCAATTAACACTAATTAGGTCAATTGACAACATGATTGGGTATAAAAAGAGCTTCTCAGAGTGTCAGTGTCTCTCAGAAGCCAAGATGGTAAGAGGATCACCAATTCCACCATTGTTGCGCAGAAAGATAGTGCAGCAATACCAGAATGGTGTTACCCAGCGTAAAATAGCAAAGACTTTTAAGTTATCATCATCAACCGTGCATAACATCATCAAAAGATTCTGGAACAATCGCTGTGCGTAAGGGTCAAGGCCGTAAAACTCTATTGGATGCTCGTGATCTCCGGGCCCTTAAACATCACTGCACCTCAAACAGGAATGCCACTGTCAAGGAAATAACAGAATGGGCTCAGGAATACTTCCAGAAAGCATTGTCAGTGAACACAATCCACATTGCCATCTGCCGTTGCCAGCTGAAACTCTACAGTGCAAAGAGGAAGCCATTTCTAAGCAAGCTCCACAAGCTCAGACGTTTGCACTGGGCCAGGGGTCATTTAAAATGGAGTGTGGCAAAATGGAAGACTGTTCTGTGGTCAGATGAGTCACGATTTGAAGTTCTTTATGGAACACTGGGATGCCATGTCATCCGGACCAGAGAGGACAAGGATAGCCCAATTTGTTATCAACGCTCCGTTCAGAAGCCTGCATCACTGATGGTATGGGGTTGCATGAGCGCTTGTGGCATGAGCAGCTTGCATGTCTGGAAAGGCACCATTAATGCAGAGAACTATGTTCAGGTTCTAGAACAACATATGCTCCCATCTAGACGTCATCTCTTTCAGGGAAGACCCTGCATTTTTCAACACGATAATGCCAGACCACATTCTGCAGCAATCACAACATCATGGCTACGTAGGAGAAGGATCCGGGTACTGAAATGGCCAGCCTGCAGTCCAGATCTTTCACCTATAGAGAACATTTGGCGCATCATAAAGAGGAAGGTGTGACAAAGAAGGCCCAAGACGATTGAACAGTTAGAGGCCTGTATTAGACATGAATGGGAGAGCATTCCTATTTCTAAACTGGAGAAACTGGTCTCCTCTGTCCCCAGACGTCTGTTGAGTGTTGTAAGAAGAAGGGGGGATGCCACACAGTGGGAAAAATGGACTTGTCCCAACTTTTTTGGGATTTGTTGACACCATGAAATTTGGAAACAACAGATTTTTCCCTTAAAATAAAACATTCTCTCAGTTTAAACTTTTGATCTGTGATTTGTGTTCTATTCTGAATAAAATATTAGATGTTGGCACCTCCACATCATTGCATTCAGTTTTTATTCACAATTTGTTTAGTGTCCCAACTTTTTTGGAATCCGGTTTGTAAAAAAATATATATATATATATATATATATATATATATATATATATATATATATAGATATATATATAGATATGTATATATGTATACATATAAATATGTATAAATAAAGGTTGAATGAATGCTATGTGCAATATATAGCATGTACATTTATGCTAATATTACTACCTGAGAAATACTTATTTATACTAATTCATCCTACTTGAATCATTATATTCTACCATGATGTCATTATTTCTTTTGGACCTTTTAAATTTTATATTTCCTTTTACCTTTTTGGTACTTCATTTCTCCAAATATCATCCATCCACTTATTCATCCAACCAGATCCATCCAGTCCAGGTGCCTTGCAGCAAAAAGACTGCAGGTTCTGCATTCACACCATCACCACTTTGTCTTGGTGCTAAACTATTTTTTGTTAAAGAGAGTATTAGATGATGGGAAACACTTGAAGAACCAGTTTCCATTGTCAGCTGCCAGATTCTTAGATTACAATGATAGTTTGTCTAGAGTTTTCTGCAGTTTTAAAAATATGTCCCAACAGTGTTTTATTAAAAGTTTAAACTTACTAAGTTTATGATAAATTTATCAATTTAAGACTGAATTATTGAGTGGTATCAGTTAAATATAACCACAATCAATAACTAATTATATAACAAACTGATAATATGGTTACCGGTTATTTATTTTAAAGATTAAATATCATTGTACATCTTTGTTCTTAGTGTTATTCCATTTGATGTACTTCTGCATTTTTCTGTTTCCCTCCACACACCTCCTCCTGACAACCTGTGATGACTCCATTCAGTAGGGAAACAACCAGGAGTCGTTCTGCGCTCCTGCTGTTCGGTCAGACAGCGAGGGGAGTGCCGAGGAATGTGATGCAGTCGTGGTAAATATTTAGCCTGCCGGAGCTTAGAGAGGGGAACACTTAAAAAGAGGAAAGAAATAAGTGATCCTTTCATCTGGGTCTCTCAGTTAGGGAGGTGGAAAAATGTGTGTACTCAACACTCTTCATGTACGAGTGTGTGTGCGTATTTGTTCAGACAGCTATTCAGCGTGTGTGTGTGAGAAGTGAGCAGAGTGTGCACACTGACGTTGCTTCCTTTGAACAAGACTCTTTTTATTCACTCGTCTCAAACACTTCTCATATTTTCAGGGTCCTGCTGAGGTTAATGTGCATGACCTGCTCACACAGCATTGTGTTGTAGATGGGCCCACAGCAGTGGTCTGTACGACACTCTTTAATTCAAACTGGATGAAGACAAAACAATATATATTTTTTGTGTTTTAATTTTATAATAAAATCAAATAAACTTTAATATTTCTGGTGCAAGATACTCGAGGGGATACATGTTACAATGTGTGTAAGAAGAAAGTTTTTTTTTGTCTCGTCCAAGGCAGCGCAGATTAATGGATCCTGGCGAGTGGAGGGAGCAACTTTATCCACCACCAGGAGCAAGGGTGGAGCTGGGGGGTGGCCAGTGGTGGTCTTGGCCACCATAGAAAAATCTTCAGACATCCCCGTCATTTGAGAAAACTACCATAATTTCGAACTGTAAGTCGCTACTTTTTTCACAGGCTTTGAGCCCTGCAGCTTACACAAGGCTGCGGATAATTTATTTATTTATGTTTTGATGGGCTAACAAGCTTCATGCCACCAAAACATTTAGCCTCGTCACACCCGGGCGCTCACATAGCTGCCCAATACACGTCTCTCTGGGGTGGGGGTGGCGGGGTGGTAAGATAAAGGTAGTTATCAATGACTTTCTGGTAGGCTACTGTATTGTTGTTTCTTTTTTACCATCTGTGTTACAGGCGGTGTTCAGAAAAAAAGAACACTTACTGTACGTATTTGTGTATGTTAATGGTACGTATTTAATTAAAAGTTTAAAAAAAATTCTGTGTAAATATCTTACGTTACAACATGGACACCCGACGCTTTTGGACAATTGCAGCCTACAGGTATATGTGTAAAATGTTTTTTCTTTTAAAAGTTAGTGGGCGTGGCTTATATTCAGGTGCGCGCAATAGCCCAAAAATGATGGTATTAAGCAATTTGAAGCAATGTTTCCCCTAGGTCACTTGTCATGACAGGGCGCTTATCTCTCCAGGGGGGTCGCCGACAAGTGGGTGGGGGATGGAGACACGTCTGTGTTGCTAGCTTAGAGCTAGTTTAACGCTACGTTACAGCTGGCAGTTGTCGACCGGGTGGGGCATGAGAGATGCGGCATGTCTGTAGCTTTTTAGCTAGTGTGTCTGAATTGCACACCGCTAGCTTAGCACTAAGTTAGTGCCAGCAGTAGTCAATAGAGTGGAGGGTGTGGAGATGGGGGAAGACATTTTGGCAGGCAGGGTGCTCGGTTCTGTTGACAGGGCAGAGCACCTTCCTTGGATAACGGTAGGGGAAACACTAGAAAGTATAGTTTCTTCGTTTCACAACGGGGGACAATTAAAAACCTCCCTCTCACACCGTGCAACACGTTTAAGGATGAACAAACCCACAGAGATCAGTATAAGTTTGAAGCAGTCCCAAAAACTGACTTATTCATAATGAAATTGTTTCTACACAAAAATTAAAAAAAGTTTCTTTCTTGCTTTCTTTAAAATGTTCTTTTGACACTTTCAAAGTGCATTTTGTATTTTTATACTACTTTTACTGTTATTATTGCAAGCTGTGTCCTCTACAGGAATCCCATTAGTTCCAGGTACAGAACTGCTTTAATATATTGTAATGTTTTCTTCTATCTCACATTCCACAGCTGTACAAGGAGGTGATGGAGCCTGGGGGTGTAGGAGAGTTCAGTACAGTCAGTTTGTAAACTAAACTTGGAATGTATCATATTATTAGCATTCCTCATGAGTGTGCAATAGGAAAAAACTGGCAGGGTTGTGTCATGGCAACAATTCTTAATTCAAAACATTAACCTTCCTAGTTTTGACTGTGAAGGAGTGCAAAGGCATAAACATCATTTTTGGACTTATACCGGTTACATTTTAGTTTACTGAACAAAAGTTTCATGTCAGGAGGTAGTGGATATACAAGTTTTCACAGCTCTGTTAAAATGACAGGTTTGGTGATGCAGAACAAACTTTTCTAGCTTTAATGTGACATATATCTCGTACAACTTAAGTAAAAACACGTCTGTTGGAGGATTATGTAAATCTAATTATCACGTTAAATACAGCCCTCTGTTGTCTTGCGAGTCGATCAACAGGCCACTCCTTGACTTGATAATATTTGCTAAATCTTCCTTCTAAAAGAAACTCAGATCTGTCTGACTGCAGGACAACTCCACAGAGTTACATCTGGGCTTCAGAAACTTTAACTTTCTTTTGTTATTTTGGATGAAAGCCTGGGGTCATTTTTTTCTTTTGGCTGCTCCTTCTTCAGGGGTCACCACAGCAAACTAACTCACATGAAGACTCGACAACTGTTTTTATGCCGAATGTCCTTCCTGACACAACCACAGACCATCGAGCTACCACAGCCTCTGTGTGGAGCAGAGAGCTGCCATCTTGGGTACCCAGGGGAGCAGATGGTGGGGGTTAAGAGTCTTGCTCAAGGGCCCAGAGTGGGGCAAATGAGGGTGGAGGCAGGTGTGGGTGTTTCACATTTTTCACCCACATTTTGATGTTGCCGGTCCGGGGAGTCGCACCGGCGACCTTCCGATCACAGGCCCACCTTCTCTAAGCTCTGCGCCACCACTCCCTAACCCGGGGTCATTGTCATGATGAGCAATAAAATATCCCTTCGGCTTGTTAGCAGACACCTAAAAGTTCTGGTCTCAAATTGACTGGTATTTTAGATATACTGGTAAACTCTTCAAAAATATATATTTTTATTTCATGCAATCATTTCCAACCTTCAACAATACTAACTGCTGTTGTATTTTATATTGTTGAAAATCCTAATTAGTTACCTTTATAAAATATGTATCCTAGTGTGTGCGTGTGTGTGTGTGTGTGTGGGGGGGGTGGGGGTGGGGTGGGGGGGGACTAGTTAAGGTAAGGCCTTTGTTTGTGATATGGTTTTGTGTTAGTGAGTTTTTAGTAAGTGTGTTAGTCCTGCTAGAAAGTTCAACTGGTTAGATAGCTGGGATTTGTATGCTCATAAACCCAGCTTTAGTGTTTGCTTCATGTCTCTTGTGACTGCCTTGGAGTCCTCCTAGAAGAGCTGGAAGTTGTGAAAGGAAACGTCTGGGCCACCTCCTCAAGCTGCTGCCCCCACAACTCGACTCCAGCACAAACGGCAGGTAATGGATGGATTGATTTGTTGTGACAAAACAGTTAGCGAATTTGAACAAACCTGCCCAATTCGCACAGCAGAGTCAACTTTCTGATGTATTTTTTTTTCAAAAGGCTCCCTAGATAAATAAAGTTATTAACTGACAGTTTATATATTTTATGTATGTGAACGTTTCTGTGCAGTGCCCTGAGACGACTTCTGTTGTGATTTGACGTTATATTGTGGGCGTTCCTGTTCCATGTCAGTCTTTGGTCACCAGAGGGCGTCATACTACCAAGCCTGCGAGCAATATTTCCTGAGGCTCCAGGAATATTTAAGGCACCTGATGACTTCCTTCCGACGCTGGAGCATTGCCCTGCCTGTTCATGCTCCTAGCTCTTTGTGAATCTCTGAGTCTTGTGGTTACTTACCTTTTGCCTTGTGATCTTTCCAGTGAACCTCTTGAGGCCTACCTGATTATCAGACCTCCTAGTGAACCTCTGAAAAACTTACATGTGCGCTCTTCAGCTGTTCTCCTTGCACTCCTACCACACGCCTTCCTGAGTCTACTGGAACTTTTCACGATTGTACAGGACATGGGAACAAGACAAATTACCATCCATCTACTATATATAAACATTGTATATTCAATTCAATTCAATTCAAAAATACTTTATTAATCCCAAAGGGAAATTATTTGTTGTTGTAACTCATTATCTTCATTTCATTAAGAGATGTTATAGATACTGATGCTGTAGACAGGAAGGATCTCTTGTAAAGGTCCATCCCACAGTGGATCCTAACAAACTGGCTGCAGATGCCGTCCGATCCGTCCACCCAGACTCAGCTGGCCTCTCGGTTCCCCCGGGCTGTAGGACCGCCTGAATGCCGGGCAGAACTCCTCCCAGAGCGATGGCCACTCCTCCCAGCAGTCTGCCGAGCTCCTCGTCTCTGCAGACAGCCGGCTGCAGGTGTCAGGGGACAATCTTGTCCTTCCGCTGTCATGAGCCGTGTTTCCTGCTAGTTCCAGGATCTCAGTGGTCAGGCACTCGAGCACAGCTGGCAGGTAGATGAGAATGCATCCACAGAACATCCTTTCAACTCACTTGAGATTTGGGGCTGTAGTTGAGATATTATTTGAGCTTTTGAGATGTTAATCAGCTGCTGTTGTTGTAGAAAACGTCCTTGTTGCCATGGTTACGCATCATAACAAATGTCCAAAACTTAAAAAGTTTCAGTAAAAATCCTTCCAGCTGCACAGCATCTGATACCAGAGGAAACAATCATCCAAAAAATGTGATTTACATCCAGAAAAAGAGGAATTAATGTTTCCAAAAGCAAAATCTCAGAATGAAAGTAACAGAGCTGCTCCAACATGCAGCCACCTGGAGCGGAGCAGTTCTAGAACAATTCAATTGCTTATATTCAATGCAATTATATATATATATATATATATATATATATATATATATATACACACACACACACACACACATATATATATACATAAACAACTACTCGTATTTGTATTCCCACTTCACGTTTTTTCACTTAACGCGGGTCTTCAGGGTACAGAGCCCCCGCGATAAACGAGTACATGTACAGTGTGTAATAAGTGCAGAAACATTTTTAAAGCTACAACTTTGTCATCACAATTGACTCTTGTTCCTGTTGCTGTTTACCACACCTTATTTATATTAATATTGTTTGCATATATCTTGGATCTTTATATACTGTTTATTTTTTTTGTTTATACTTTACACTGTAATACTTTTTTGGGTGTAACTAACTGGACCTTGAGTACAGTTTCATTCCCCCTCATGTACCACATGTGATGTGACGAACAATAAAGAACCTTTATTTGTTTTATGTTGTGTTTGTGCCACTTTCTTTGATTTATTTTAATATTGTTTCAGGATGTGAGAATTTGTGTTGCTGTGAAAACTCGAGTTGTGTTCTTACTTAAAAAAATTACAATTTTTTTATTGTAGTTTGGTACACCCAAAGGCCCCTCAAAAAACATCCTGCAAAAGAACCCCACAAAACTTGAGTAAACCCCAGATCCAGCAGGAAGAAAACAACAGGACATTATGCTGCTGTCACCATCTTTCAGAGGGTACACTGTTGTTTTGGTGATTCATACAAATTTTACCAGACGGTTGAACTTGTGATGTATTTGTGCTGATCTTTTAGATTTCCAACCGTGTAGAAACATATTTATTTATTTATATACGGTACATAGTAGTTGTCCCCCGCCTCTCGCACAGTGACTGGACATGGGCACCAGTGACCCCCGCAACCCGAAAAGGAAGAAGCGGGTAAAGATGGTGGATGGTACATAGTGTGTGTTCTGAATGGTGTGTTTCTAACCAGTGCAGACGTAGGGCATGCAGGAAAGCAGAGAGCCCCTCCATGATGAGCAGGATGGCTACAGTGAGAGTGGCGAATGCTGAGAAGATGATTGACAGGCCAAAGAACCCGCCTCCGCTCCTGGAGGACAGACCCAAGTGCATCACCATGGACCAAAGCACCTCAGATAGCTCTGCATCATGAAAAACACACAGTTAGCACCAAAACTGGCTGCTTTCAAATTCAGCACTCCATTTTTTAATCGCAAAGAAGAAATCTTGGGTCTGTAGCTACAAACTGGTACTTACGTGCATGGGCAAGACTGAGGGCCCAGAGGCGCAGGTAGGAGGCCGTGTTAGATATGCAGCCCAGACAGTACTCTATGGTGTGGATGGCCTGGTGCACAGCTACGTCACCAAAGTTAAACTGTGGGCCGACAAAAGGAATGTTGTCAAACATTTTTATTTGATATATCACAGTTCATGCTCAATAATCCAGGTAGAAGAATCCAGCAAAGTTCAGTCAGGTCCTCTGGACGGTTACTTTTTATTGAAACGTTTCATCTTTCATCCAAAAGACTTCATCAGTCCAAGGAGCCACAACAAACTCAGTCCTATAAATAGCACCTTCACATAGTGGGTCTACAAGTTTGAAGACGCTCAGATGGTTTCTGGAGTCCGCCCTCTCCCCCGCCAACTCTTTATCGACGGATTATTGAGCAAGAACTTTGATATTTTGACCCACTTTGACCATGACTGCCTCAAAAGAGTCAGCAGGGGAGGGGGCGGACTAATACAAAGGAAATTACTATTCATGCAACTCTTAGGTTATTTTGAAAAGCTGCCTGTGGGACCCCGGAAGCAGCTGATGGGTACCGGCAGTCCAAGCGACATGCGGCTCGGGTGGTCGCTGAGGCAAAAACTCGGGCATGGGAGGAGTTTGGAGAGGCCATGGAGAATGACTTCCACACGGCTTCAAGGCGATTCTGGTCCACCATCCGGCGTCTCGGGGGGGTGAGAGAAGCGGTACACCACCAACACTGTTTGTAGTGGGGGTGGTGTGCTGCTGACCTCAACTCGGGATGTCGTGGGTCGGTGGGCAGAATACTTTGAAGACCTCCTCAATCCCACCAGCACGTCTTCCACTGAGGAAGCAGAGGCTGGGGACTCTGGGTCGGGCCCTCCAATCTCTGGTGCTGAGGTCACAGAGGTGGTTAAAAAGCTCCTCAGTGGCAGGGCCCCAAGGGTGGATGAGATTTGCCTGGAGTTCCTTAAGGCTCTGGATGTTGTAGGGTTGTGTTGGCTTACGCGACCCTGCAATATTGCGTGGACATCGGGGGAAGTTCCCCATGATTGGCAGACCGGGGTGGTGGTCCCCCTATTCAAAAAGTTGGACCGTAGAATGTGTTCCAACTACAGGGGGATCACACTCTTAAGCCTCCCTGATAAGGTCTATTCAGGGGTTCTGGAGAGGAGGGTCCATCGGATAGTCGAACCTTGGATTCAGGAGGAGCAGTGCGGTTTTCGTCCTGGTCGTGGAACACTGGACCAGCTCTACACCCTCAACAGGGTCCTGGAGGGTGCGTGAGCGTTTGCCCAACCGGTCTACATGTGCTTTGTGGACTTGGAGAAGGCGTTCGACTGCAGGCTGCTACCCCCGCGATCCGACCCCGAATAAGCGGAAGAAAATGGATGGATGGATGAAAAGCTGCGGTTTTGACCTTTGACCTCCAATTAGTATCAGACTCGGATCATAAAACAAACAGTTTGGGCTACTTTCAAGTTTTCTATCAGCAGAATCAAAGCCGTGGAACTTGATTGTGTTTCGTAAAATAAAAAATAATCAGTTGATTTCTCTATTGTGAAACAAGTCAGAGCGTTCCTGAATGAACGGAGGATAAATGGGAAAACTTTTCACGTCTGTTGCTCTCATTGTTCAGCGGTCCTTACTTGTCTAGTTTCCTGTTTACTAAGCTTTGACGGTCAAAACAAGAGTTCACAGAGGCAGCATTTAAAACGCATTCACCCGTGGAAACACAAACACCCTATAAAAGTATCACGTGATCAAAGTGTCACAAGAAGTTCAAGTGAACAAAGTCATCGGGTCGTTTGTATAGTTACAACACAAAAAACACAAAGAGGACTTCCACTATGAACCTGATCACATTTAGCTTTGCCAACAGAGTTCATCTTAAAACAAAAACATATTTAATACAAAAATATTAATCAAGTCTGCTTAAAAACACAAAAACGTATTAATCTACAGTTCTCGCCTGGTTTAGGTATTAAAGTTTAGTAATAAGTTTAAAGGCCAAGCAGTCCTTGAAGAAACACTGCCCACAGCTTTTTATCCCAAACTTTAAACTGGGATGTCTCATCTGGTGAGACGTGGAGGTACAGAGGTTCTGCTTGCACCTTCTATATTTTATATGTAATCTCATTCATCATCAGTCATCACTTAAAGCACGACTCTCAGCTATCACATAAAACCTAATTTATTTATAAAGCACTAGGCCTGTCACAATAACAAATTTTACGAAGTGATTAATTGTCTCAGAAATAATTGTGATAAACAATAGTATTGTTTGAATTTTGACAATAATTAGTAATTATTGTCAAATTATTGTCAAATTTAAGAAGAAATGTTGGTTTATTTGTTTTGCATGTAGTGCCTTTATTCCACTACCGGATGACAGTATAAGACTGTTTGAACCGAAGGATGGATAGTGAGGGAGCGAGCAGCGTGTCTCTTTAAGAAAAATGGGAGAGAGGCCCCTTGACGTGACAAAAAGGAAGGAGAGACATCTCCTTCCTTTTTTCAGTTCTCAAAATGGCAGACGCTCAGTGTGGTTTGAGCTCTTTAGCATAGCATTTGTCACACAAAGCTTATAATAAAAAAATGAGTAAACAAGTTCTCAGCTTCTTTTTGCAGAGAAAAACAACTTTTTACACAAAGGCATGGGTGTAAACCGTGAATTTTGGAGCTTCGACAAGACGGAGGTTTTTCTCCTGAGGTCGACCTGTTAGCTTAGCTTGTAGCTTAGCTGAGTGTATTCATTAGAAAAAGAGAGACGAACGAACGAAGATGAACGATAAAGCCTATAAATGAAAATGAGGTCGATAATTTTAATTTATCATGTGATTAATTGCTTTTGTGTTTATTGTGACAGGCCTATAAAGCACATTTGAAAACAGCTGTTGTTGGCCACAGTGCTGCACACAATACAAGTAGTGAGAAGAGAAAAAGGAGACCATAAGCACAGACAAGAAATAAAAAAGAGTCAGTAAAAAGTCCACTGTCATGCTGTATAAAAGCCACTGAGTACAAATGTGCTGAGAGATGATGAAACTTAAAAACACAGAGTGCTGAGCCTGTTTGAGAAGCTACGACCACATCAGATTATACTTAGAGACACTTTTGTTTTCACTTAATTACCTGTGGCAGCCATCTTGATTTGGATTGAATCCAAAAGTTAGTCAGATCTAGATGAACAGCTAATGATTCTTCTGGGAGATTTTCATTAAAATCCATTTAATGGCCTTAGATATTTTACTAAAAGAAAATGGGTTGACGCCAACAGTCAAGGCCAAATGTTTAAGCAAAGATGTGCAATGTGCAGTGCTTGGAGTGGACGTTTTGAATTACTCTCAGCGACTACCACACTAAACCTCAGCTCAATAAGGACTGAGTCACAGACATTGTTAAGTCTGCTAAAGTTGCTTAGTTGTGGCAGCCATCTTGAAACCGACTGCCTCCAGAGTTATTCGGTGTCAGATGTGCCTCTTGAGTTTTATTAAACCAACTGTTTCATGAGATGGGGGAGGATGCCGGTCAGACCTGGCAGACCCAAATGTATTGTGAGGGTATGCTGGGAACGTCTGGCAGAGTCTCCCGTGAGACGGAGCTTTAACTCCCACCTTTGGGAGAGCTTCGAACACGTTCCGGGGGAGGTGGGGGACAATGAGTCCAAGTGGGCCATGTTCCGTGCCTCTATTGTTGAGGCGGCTAATCGGAGCTGTTGCCGCAAGGTTGTCGGTGCCTGTCGCGGCGGTAATCCTTGAACCCGGTGGTGGACACCGGGGTGATGGGTACCGGCAGTCCAAGCGGCATGCGGCTCGGGTGGTCACTGAGGCAAAAACTCGGGCGTGGGAGGAGTTCGGAGAGGCCATGGAGAATGACTTCCGCACGGCTTTGAGGCGATTCTGGTCCACCATCCGGCATCTCGGGGGGTGGGGGGAGAGTGGTACGCCATCAACAATATTTATAGTGGAGGTGGTGTGCTACTGACCTCAACTCGGGATGTCGTGGGTCGGTGGGCAGAATATTTTGAAGACATCCTCAATCCCACCGGCACATCTTCCGCTAAAGAAGTGGAGCCTGGGGACTCTGGGTCGGGCTCTCCAATCTCTGGTGCTGAGGTCACCGAGGTGGTTAAAAAGCTCCTCAGTGGCAGGGCCCTGGGGGTGGATGAGATTCGCCCGGAGTTCCTTAAAGCTCTGGATGTTGTAGGGTTGTGTGGCTTACACGACTCTGCAATATTGCGTGGACATCGGGAGCAGTTCCCCTGGATTGGCAGACCGTGGTGGTGGTCCCCCTATTCAAAAATGGGGACCGTAGAGTGTGTTCCATCTACAAGGGGATCACGCTCTTAAGCCTCCCTGGTAAGGTCTATTTGGGGGTTCTGGAGAGGTGGGTCCGTCGGATAGTCGAACCTTGGATTCAGGAGGAGCAGTGCGGTTTTTGTCCTGGTCGTGGAACACTGGACAAGCTCTACACCCTCAGCAGGGTCCTGGCCCAACCAGTCTACATGTGCTTTGTGGACTTGGAGAAGGCGTTCGACCGTGTCTCTTGGGGAGCCCTGTGGGGGGTACTCCTTGTTCTTTGTCACCGATTCTGTTCATAACTTTTATGGACAAAATTTCTAGGCGCAGCCAAGGTGTTGAGGGGATCCATTTTGGTGGCCTTAGGATCACGTCTCTGCTTTTTGCAGATGATGTGGTCCTATTGGCTTCATCAGATCGTGATCTACAGTTTTCACTGGAGCGGTTCGAAGCCGAGTGTGACGCAGCCGGGATGAAGATCAGTTCCTCCAAATCCGAGGCCATGGTCTTGAGCCAGAAAAGGGTAGAGTGCCCTCTCCGGGTCGGGGAGGAGGTCCTGCACCAAGTGGAGGAGTTCAAGTATCTTGGGGTCTTGTTCACCAATGAGGGAAAAATGGAGCGTGAGATTGATAGGTGGATAGGTGCAGCATCTGCAGTGAAGCGGGCGCTGTACTGGTCTGTCGTGGTGAAGAGAGAGCTGAGTCAAAAGGCGAAGCTCTCAATTTACCGATCGATCTACGTTCCCACCCTCATCTATGGTCATGAGCTTTGGGTTGTGACCGAAAGAACCAGATCATGGATACAAGCGGCCGAAATGAGTTTTCT